CCCCCTGCACGCCCCTTCTGGCGTCGAGTAACGGCGTCGTGGATAGCGGCCGCGGTGAGGAGACCACCCCGTGCGCAGCCGCTTTGGTGTCGAGAAAGTGCCACGCCTGCCGCGCTTTGCGAGCGCACAACGGATAGGGAGGCCACCCCCTGCGTTTCGCTGCGCTGTCCTGTGCAGTGTTGTGCTGTGCCGTGCCGTGCTGTCCCGTGCTGCGCCGTGCTGAGCTGAGCTGAGCTGTGCTAAGCTGCGCTGAGCTGAACTGAGCTGAGCTGAGCTGTGCTGAGCTGTGCTGTGCTGTGTGCGCGACGACGAGGAGGAGGAGGAGGAGGAGGAGGACGAGGACAAGGGGGGGGAGGCGGAAGGAAGACGCGGGTGCGACGCGGCAGTGAAGAAAACCATGACCCCACGAAGCGCGTGGGGAAGAACCATAACGACCGCGACCACAACCAGGACGACGACCGCGACCGCTACCTCGCCGACGAGTGCGAAGACGAAAACGGTCACGACCAAGACCACGACGACGGCCACGACCACAGCCACGAGCAAGTTGACGGCCGCGACGACGACAACGCCCACGACGGCTGCGACGACGACGACGACGACCGAAACCGCAACCACGACGACCACCGCGACCCCGACGACGACGGCGACGATCAAAATCAAGACAACGACGACCAGTGCCACGACAACGGCCGCAGCAACGCCCATGGCCACGACCACGACCACGACGACAACAACGACCACGCCCACGACGAAACCGATCACGATCACGAGGCTACGACCACGACGACAGCCGAGACGACGGCCTCGACCACGACGATGACGACGCCGACAGCGACCACTGCCATAACGACGACCACGACAACGACCGTGAAGGCGACCACAACCGCGACGGCGACGACCATCACGGCCACTGTGACCACAACGACCACAACGACCAACGCCACAGCCAAAACGACGACGCCAGCGCCCACGGTCTCCCATCAGGGCTTTCGGCCGGATTCTTCTCGAGCAAAACAGGCACTAATCGCGCAAGGTTGCGCCGAGTTGGGCGCGGCGGCGCCGTGCGGACCCTTTAATTGGGGCATTCGGATGAGCTCCATATGGTGCCACCGACGCTGAGGGGTGTGCCAACGTGTGCGCAGTGATGATGATGATTTTGATGATGGTGACGATGATGATGATGATGATGACGATGATGATGATGATGATTCATCATCATCATGTTGATGCTGGCGCTGGCGGTTGTCCTGGCGATGATTGGCGCGAGCTTTTCAATTGATGCCTAATTTCAATGGCGCCCACGGCAGTATTTATAGGCAAAACATGTTTTCAAAATCATGCAGCCGTCTGGTCAGCCCCCAGTGCGCAGCCCTCACGCGGCTCGTGCCCCCATTAGCCTACAGGGAACGGTAGCGCAGGGCCTTATGCATGAGAGGGTCCGCAAGGGCGTTGCCGCGCTCTTCTTCTCTGGGTCCGTAAGGCAAGGGCGGCACGGGCGGCAAAGGCTGCGGCACTCGTACCAATACGGCTATACAGCATAACCGATATCATCGTCGTCATCATCCACATGCACGCGTCAGCGTGCGAGCGATGCTCGCTATGCCACGGCATGATCAAGCCCACTCGGTTTCCGAGGCGAGCATGCTCGCGATGCATAAATGTGAGATCTGCCAGTGTAGAACATAATAAAACAACACATAAGACATATACGTAAACCGTATTTTCGTTCTTCGTATATAAACAATGTAAAAAAGAAAAGAGCACAGACAACTTAACTATGCGTTTTAAAGGAACATCAATGAAAATTTTAGTGTCTATGTATGAGTTTGCATTCGGATAGTTATCGAATACTTCGCTGCATGTTGATATAGATAGTTGTGCGATAGTTTATGAATAGTCGAACCAACTATTTATAAACTAGCACATGACTTTCCTACAACTGTTACTTAACTATAGCACATCTATTCGAAATCTATTATGAGATAGTTTGGGGCGGGCCTCAAAGTGGTGGAAAAGAGAGCCCCAAAACATGACAAGGGGGCCCCCAAAGGCCTTCCGAACGGACCAAGAGGGCCACGAGCCGCCGAAAGATGGATCAAAAAGCGCTCACGCTGGCCTCCGCACGGGCAAAGAAGCCCTTAAAACGCTCCAAGAAGCCCCCAAGAGGCGCCCCAAGACGACCTTCAGAAGCAAAAATCCTCCCATTCCCATGGGGAAGCGTTCATTCTGAACCCATTCGCCTCTTGTGCGTTCACAACGTCCAAGGCGGCCCGAGAAGCCTCTTGAATCGCCCCAACACGGCCCAAGAGGTGCCCAAGAAGGCTCCCAGGCGACCCAAAAGCCCCCAAAACCGCTCAAGAAATCCCCAGCACGGCCCAAGGGAACGCAGGACAGACCCAACAGGGCGCCCAGAGGGGGACTCCGAACGGACATGCCGAGCCTTCGGCCCCAATGCGCTCCCCGGGAGCCCCAAGAAGCCCCCAAGAGGCCTCAAAAAACAACCAAAAGGCTCCCAGGAGACCCGAAAGAAGAGCAGAGCAACAACTGCCTCCCAAACACCTCCGAGACGCCTCCTACGAAACCCCATTTGCCATCCGCGTGGCCTCCGACCCGCAGCCCAGGCACGGTGGTGGGTTCCAACGTCCAGGACCGCCCCTATCCCCGAACCACGTCTGACCTCCGCCCCTCGCCCTCTCCCAAGACAACCCCTGGCCTTGGGGCGATCGGGCATGCAGGCTCTTTTAGGGTCGGCGGCAGAGGCAGCAGCCTGTAGATCCGGCCGCTCCCGCCCGGCGGGTTGGGCCGTGCGAGACCACTCTGACACAGTGTCTGGCAGTCTTTGGCCCCCTTTTCCAGTGCCTGGTCAAAAACCTCCTGAAAGTTCTTTCGAAGGGGCCCCACTCTGCCGCCGGCCCCACTCTGCCGCCAGCCCCCTTGAAGGTCTCAAACGGCCCGGGGACGACCCAAGGGCGCCCCAAGCCGGTCCAAGAGAGTCCCGAGCAGTCCAAGAGAGCCTCCAGACGGTTCCAGATCGCTCCAAGACGCCTAAGATGGCCTCCAGACGGCCCAAGACGCCTCCAAGACGGCCCAAGAGGGCTCCAAGAGCACCCCCAAGACAGCCCCGAGAAGCAAAAATCATTGATTTTTCAATGGTTTTTGAAGGATTTTCACGTTCACGCCATTTCGGCTTACCCACGCTCCACGACGGCCCAAGAGGCCCCCAAGATCGCCCCAGGACGGCCCAACAGGCCCCCAAGACGGCCCCAAGACAGCCCAAGAGGGCCCCAAGACCGCCCAAGAGGCCCCCGGGACGGCCCAAGAGGGGCCCCAGGATGGCCCCAAGAGGAGGCCCAGAAGGGGTACCCGAATGAACATGTCGAGCTTTCGGCTCAAGAGGCCCCCAGGAGGCCCTCAGCGGCCCCCTGGAGGCCCCCAACAAACCCCAAAAGAGCCCCAAGAGGCCCCAAGAGGGCCCCCAGAGGTCTCCAAAAAGCTCCTGGGACGCCCCCAAGAGGCCCCTAAACTGCCCCGCAGAAGCCCCCGAGAGCTGTCCGAAGAGACTCCTGCAAGCGTCCATGAGGACTCTGAGCCACAACCCAGGCAAGGTGGCGGGATCACTCCCAGACGCCGAAGATGGCCTCTAGAGGCCCTCACGCGCCTTCAAGACGTCCCAAAAAACCTCAAAGGCCCCCAAGAGGGCCCGAAGCAGTTCCCAAGAAGCTTCCAGGAGGCTCCCCAGAGGCTCCTAAAATGCCCCGCAGAGGCTCCCGAGAGCTGTCCGAAGAGACTCCTACAAGCGTCTATGAGGACTCGGACCCACAACCCAGGCAAGGTGGCGGGATCACTCCAAGACGCAGACAAACTCCCAGGGAGCGGCCGGTGATGCGCCGCCGGCGTCCTCGATAGATTGGGTGCCCGCCCGCCCTCTGAGGACGGAAAGGGTGAAGCCACTCGATCCTTGAAGTAGGAAGGCGCTTAAAGTAGATTGGACTTTGGGACTCCAGTATTGGGTACACACGCGAAGCGTCCGATGGGTACACACGCGAAACCTTGGAACCAAGGGAAGCAGGAGGGAGCAAGGCAGGGAGCAGGGGCAGCAGGGGAAGGACCAGAGCCCAGAAGTGAGGGGTCCTGATTTTTCAAGGTCGCGGTCCCCCGAAGTCGAGACTTAAGGACTTAAGGACTCGCGGTTCCCCGATGTTTCCATGTTGCTCCTATCATACTGAAGGGCCACATCTCAGACAGAATTTCGAGCACCCAGAAAAGATATCGAAACAGTGTCGAACGAGTATCGATCGCCTCGCAGGGATTGGCACGCGAAAACCCTCCAGTTTCGATACGTTCTTGGTGCTCGAAACGCTTTCTGGTGATCAAGGCTTAAGTAGGTTGGACCATCATAAGTCGAAGCCATTCTTTCCAAAATCGATGCTTCACCCTGGAACGTGTTTCCGACGTTCCCAGGGCCAAGAGAGGGCCCTCAGAGGCCCAAGACGGGAAAACAGCTCCCCTGGTGTTTGTTTAGGACGCGAGCATGTCTGGGAGCAGCAGGCGGACGGTTGAGGAAATTCCTGGAGGCCTCGCGCGGGAGCTTGAGATTCCCGGGAGCGGCAAAGAGGGGGGTGTCCAAGAGAGGGGGTGCAAATCATGATCGGCGGCATGTGCGGGGCCCAGCGGGGGGGCCAGGGCCGTAATGAAATAAGCAGAGGCGCCATGAGATCTGGGGAAACATCATGGCCCACGCCATGATATCCACCCTCCCCAGTCATCACCCCCCTCTTTGCCGCCCCCGATTCAACGTGCGTCAGATCCACCTCGGATCTACGTAGGACTCACCGCGGACTGCGTCGGACTTGCGTCGGATCCACGTCGGGCTCGCGTCGGAGCTTCGCCGCGCGAACGGCGTCCTACATATCTCTGACGGGGCGGACGTGCGGACTGGACATCGCTGCCGTGGCGAGCCGCGCGGGACGTCCAGGGCTTTTCTCATGGGGAAGGTCCTGACTTCCCTGTGTTCGATGAGCCAGTGCTCTCTGATGCCGACTTCGCGGATCTTCGCGAGGCCGTCACCGCACTCCACGTCGAAGGCTAGCGACGTGGCCGTCGTGCCCGGGCGAGAGCCGATCGTGGAGATCGCCGTGAGGGTGCCCGAGCCATCTGTGGCGACGGTCGGCTCCTGAGGCGGCGCGCACAACTGGGATCGCCGCGGGGGTTGCTACAAGTAGAATGGGCGTTTATTAGCGTGGATTGCCGCGCTGGGATTGCCCCGCCGCCACATGTGGATTAGGGGCTTCTACGTGGATGCCACTGCGGATTATCGGAGTGAGGGGGCCGAACGGTCATTCATTGTCCCTGGGTGCGTGGCTGAATAGGGGATTCGTGGTGAGAATTATGCTTGTTGCGTGGTTGTTGTTGCTGATGTTGTTGTTGTTGTTGTTGCTGCTGCTGCTGCTGCTGCTGCTGTTGGATGTCAATTACTAGACAACTATTATTGTTGGACCCTCCCCAAGTGCTTTGACGCCCTCGCCTCGGCGCCGGATACATTTTCATTGAAAATGAGGCTCACGCTCGAGCGGCGCGAAGGGGCGCCAAAACAGGCCCCCCAACAACAACAACGCTCCCGCTCGAGACTTCCTCCCTTTTTGCTCAGGGCTGGTGCTCTTACTCGCCGCCGAAAGCCGCCCTCCCAACAAAACCAGCGCTACCACTCGAGACTTCCTTCCGTTTTATCTTGGACTGGCGCGCTACTCTTTCTGTCATCGGCGCCGCCCCCAGCAACAACAACGCTCCCGCTCGAGACATCCGCCCTTTTGTACTCAAAAAGGTGCTCCTCCTCGCCGCCGAAGACCGCCGCTCCGACAAAACCAGCGCTCCCGCCCGAGATTGTCTCCCGCTCTGCGCTGGATACTCCCTTTTGAATGGGCGCCGCTCCCAGGAAAAACAACGTTCCCGCTCGAGACTTCTTCCCTTTTTCCTCAGGACCGTGCTGTTCCTCGCCGCCGACAGGCCCCGTCCCGACAAAACCACCGCTCCCGCTCGAGACTTCCCCCATTCTTCCTCAAGGCGGCGTTCCTCCTCGAAGCCGGCAACCGTCGTTCCAACAAAACCAACGTTCCCGCTCGAGAATTCGTACTGTTTTACGGTGGACTAACGCCCTACTCTTTTCAGCATTGGCGCCGCTCCCAGCAACAACAGCGGCCCTTCTCGAGACTTCCCCCCTGTCTATTCAAGGCCAGGTCCTTGCCTCGCCGCCGACAGCCAGCATCGCCACCAAGGCAATCCTGTCGCTCGATACTTCCCTGTGCTTTACCTTTGGCTGAAGCCCCACTGGCGGTCTCGCATCGGCGCAGCTAGGCGCGGGCATGCGTTTTCGAAGCGGGATATGTTGAAATTCCTCGGAAGAAGCGTTTGCAATATCTAGTTGGGCGGGATATCTGGGAATAGGGATAACGGACCCCGCTATAGAACAATAATCCCCCGTGATTGGGATGCTTATCCTGATGGTCGCATGCTTCGTGTGGAAACATCGTGCATGATGGTTGACTGATTGTTGTTGTTGGTGTTGTTGTTGCTGTTTGTTGTCGTCGTCCCTCCCGCGGCCCACCCCGCGACACACCCGCGACCCAACCCGCGACCCACCCGCGACCCACCCGCGACCCACCCTGCGACCCACCCGGCGACCCATTCCTCGACCCATCCTCGACCCATCCGCGACCCACCCGCGACCCACTCGCGACCCACCCCGCGACCCACCCGCGACCCACCCCGCGAGCTACCCTCAGGGGAGGAAAAACAAACCTGACCCAACAATTGACATTTACGAAACGGTTCCAGGCGTTTACTGAACAGACCTGCCCTGATCGATTTACTCTGGGTGTGCGATTGCCAGACGGCTTCGCTTGTTGGGGCGATTCTTATGGGGTGGATTTTCTGTCTTCTACACCCGCGACCCATCCGCGACCCAACAACGACCCACCCGCGACCCATTTGCGACCCACCCACGACCCACCACCGTTTGTTTGAGGAAAAGATCGGCGCCTGCGGCGGGTTCGTCGTGCGGCGCCTGCGGCGGGTTTCTCCAAAGTCTCGCAAACTGCCGACGTCCCCACCGCCGCCTCCTTCTTATCCGCATATGCGGGGTACCACGCACCTGGATCGTAAATGCTCTAGCCCGCTGGAAACAAGGGTTTGAATACGTAGCACCCAGCAGATGCGGATAAGACTAAGGGGGCGGTGGGGGCGTCGGCAGTTTGCGAGACTCCGGGGAAACCCCCCGCAGGCGCCAAAGTTTGTCAAATTACACAAGGAGCCCGCCGCAGGCGCCGATTCTCGTCAAGCCCATGTGGGTCGCAAATGGGTCGCGGGTGGGTTGCTGGTGTAGAGGACAAACAATCCACCCCCAAATCCCAGCAGCCCTCTGGGCGTAGGTGGTCTAATGAGTTTCTTTTTCCTGAACGCATGAAAAGCGCCCCCCGCCCCCCACGTGCAAAACTTTAGACACATGGGACTGTCAAGCGACGCGCGAACTGCAAGCGGAAACAGCTCGACGGTCAGCCAACGACAACGCCTCGCAACTCAATGCGAGCAGCGCGCTGTTGGTATGCTGGTTGGCGTTTGAACTGGGCGTTGCCTACCGTTGGCACGCGGCCAATGCCCAAAGTCATCGCGGATATTCGCGCGCTCGTGCCAGGGCGAAAATCAAAGGCGCGTCGGCCCTTAGCGGCGCTGGCAAGAGACCGGGACGGCGTCCAGGGCCCCTCCCGCACGGGCGCGCATCGAAAAGTTTAGATCCACCCCGGAGACAAAGCTAAGACACCAGGCAAAAACATGATAAACTCTATATAAATCGATATGAACTTCGCCAAAACCAGAAAACTCGCGCGGAAAAAAACCCAAACAGTTGATATAAACAGAAAGCTGCGTTTATATAAAAGATGAACAGTTGCCTCAAGAGAAACGTTCCGGATCTAAACTTTTTCGTCGGCGGGTTACGAGAGGGCGATGGAGGCGGGGGCGGGGGCCTTCGGCTGGGCCAGCGGCGCTGGCCGTGCGAAGGACAGCGCCGCCGTCGCTTCAACCTGCGCGCCGAGGCCGTGGCACGCGCGGCCCTGGGAATGCCGGCGCGGGCGCGGCCGCGTCGAGTGGGCCCAGGATGTCGCCGCGCGCGCGGGCGCCCCTTGCGGCAGCTGGCAATGGTCTCGCGGACCTACACTTACGCACATGGTCCACACATGCAAAACGCTGACATGTAGAATACATAGTTGTGGGGGCTGCGGTCGGTTTCCCAGAGTTCGCTTCCCTCTTCAACAACAAGAACCCTCTTCCCCTGCGCGGGTTCACCCCTCCCCTTACCCCTCCCCTGGATTTTTGTTTCGGGGTTCCGCGATGTGTCACGGCGTCCAAAACGGTCTCGGCGAGGAAGCCAAAATCATTGGTTTTACCAAGGTGTTGGCCCCATTTGGGCCTTTTTTGGGGGGGCTGCACGTTATCCCATCTCCTCCTTTGATCGGTGGCCATCAAGATGGTCCCAAGAAGCCTTCCAGAGCTCCCAAGAGGGCCCCACGAGAGTACCAAGAGGGCCCTGAGAGGGCCCCAAGACCATTGAAAAAACAACCCAAGAGAATTCCAATACGCTCCCAAAAAAACCCCTGGAGAGCTCCACAAGGCGATTTTCAGGGCTCCTGGGAAAAGGGCCGAAATCGAAGACCCCCCATCTTTTGATCGACCTCTTCCCCCTGTTCCTCCTTTTCCCTTCGCCCCCACGCGGCCCCCAGTGATGGCCCGGTTGAGATCTCTACGGCCCAACCCCCCCTTCCCCAACGCCACCCCCTTGCTCCCAGAGATCTCTCGGTTCATCCTGGTTGCTCGCGCTGTTTCCCTAAATGTGACCCTCCGTCCCTTTTCCCATCAGTTCTCGTGGTCAACGCTTCGGAATGGGCTGGTGGGGATTTGTTTTGGTCGCGGCCGCAAACGAAGGCGCAGGCGGCGCTACGAGCGCAACCTAACTACCTAGCGCGAGCACTCACGGCTGCTGGAGCTGCCGCCGAAGGACGCCAGGCGGCGCCGAAGGATGAAAGCGGGCTGGCTGGCGGAGATACTTTTTTGGTCAGCGGCCCCGAGACTACGGTCAGGGAGCGAAGGCGACGTCCGGGCCACGGGCGAAGCTAATTTGCAAGACAATTCGCCGCAGCTGGAAGAGATACGCGAAGAGTGAAGAATAATCACCCCGACAAGCGAAGCCGTCTAGTAATCGCACACAAGGAAGGAATCGAACAGGGCAGGGCTGTTTAGTAAACGCCCAGAGCCGTTTAATAAACGTCAGTTGTTGGGTCCGAATTCTTCCTCCCCTGAAGACGGCTCGCGGGGTGGGTCGCGGGATGGGTCGCGGGTGGGTCGCGGACGGGTCGCGGGGTTGGTTGCGGGTGGGTCGCGGGGTGGGTCGCGGGTGGGTCGCGAGTGGGTCGCGGGTGGGTCGCGGGTTGGGTCGCGGGTGGGTCGGCGGGGCGCAAGGTGGGTCGCGGGGTGGGCGGCGGGGTGGGTCGCGGGTGGGTCGCGGGTGGCACGACGACAACAAACAACAAACAACAAACAACAAACAACAGACAACAGACAACGACAACAACAACAACAACAACAACCACCACAACAACAAAAACAACAACAACAACAACAACAACAACAACAACAACAACAACAACAACAACAACAACCACAACTCCAACAACAACAACAACACCAACAAAAACAACAACAACAACACCAACACCAACACCAACAACAACACCAACATCAACATCATCAACAACAACGACAACAACACCAACACCACCAACAACAACAACAATAACAACATCAACAACTCCAACAATAACAACTCCACCAACAACACCACCACCACCAACAACAACAGCGCCAACAACAACCACAACATCAACACCAACAACACCACCAACAACAAGCACAACAATCAGTTTACCGTCATGCGCGATGTTTCCACACGAAGCATGCGACCATCATCATCATCATCATGATAAGCATCCCCATCACGGGGGACTCTTGTTCTTTACCGGGGTCCGTTATTCCCATTCCCAGATATTCCGCCCAATGAGGTCTTGCAAACACCTCCTCCGAGGAAGTTTAGCATATCCCGCCTCGGGAACTAATGCCCGCGCCTTGCTGCGCCGATGCGAGACCGCCAGTGGAGCCTCAGCCAAGGGTAGAGCACAAGGAGGTATCGAGCGACAGGGTTGCCTTGGTGGGGATGGGGGCTGTCGGCGGCGAGGAAATGACCTGGTCCTGAATAGAAAGGGAGGAAGTCTCGAGCAGGGCCGCTGTTGTTACTGAGAGCGGCGCCAATGCTGAAGAGAGTGGGGCGCTAGTCCAGCGTAAAACGAAACGAGGTCTCGAGTGGGAACGCTGGTTTTGCTGGGATGGCAGATGTCGGCGGCGAGGAGGAACGCCGCCTTGAGCAAGAATGGAGGAAATCTGTCGGGACGGGGGCTGTCGGCGGCGAGGAACAGCACCGTCCTGAGGAAAAAAAGAGGAAGCCTCGGACGGGAGCGTTATTCTTGCTGGGAGCGGCGCCAATTCAAAAGAGAGCATCCAGCGTAAAACGGGAGGAAGTTTCGGGCAGGAGCGCTGGTTTTGTCGGGACGGCGGTTTTCGGCGGCGAGGAGGAGCACCGCCCCGAGTAAAAAAGGGAGGGAGTCTCGAGCGGGAGCGTTGTTGTTGCTGGGGGCGGCGCCGATGAGAGAAAGAGTAGCGCGCCAGTCCAAGGTAAAGCGGGAGGAAGTCTCGAGCGGTAGCGCTGGTTTTGTTGGGAGGGCGGCTTTCGGCGGCGAGCAAGAGCACCGGCCCTGAGTAAAAAAGAAGGATGTCTCGAGCGGGAGCATTGTTGTGGTTGGGGGGCCGGTTTTGGCGCCCCCTCACACCGCTCGAGCGTGAGCCTCATTTTCGATGAAAAAATGTAGCCAGCGCCGAGGCCAGAGCGTCAAAGCGCTTGGGGGGGGTCCAATGTCCAACAATAATAATTATTCAACATTTAACATTCAAGAACAGCAGCAGCAACAACAGCAACAGCAATAGCAGTAACAACAACCAAAATTCTCACCACGAGTTCCCTATTCAGCCACGCACCCAGGGACAATGAATGACCGTTCGGCCCCCTCACTCTGATCTTGGCTGAGCGGGCAAGACAGCATATCCGTATCCGCGGCCTCGCGGGCCAGACCCTGGGCCGCGACCCCGCGGATGAGAAGCGCTTTTGTTGCGCATGCCCCGCGCGGAACGTATCCGTGCGAATGCATACCAACGGGATCGCGCCCCGGAATCCAGGCCGCGAGCGCGCGGAGACGGATGTGCTCGCCGCTCGTCATCTGCGGCGGCCATCGGCTCCGCGGGGGGCGCGCCCAAAAAGGGTTCCCTGAGATACCAGCGCTTCGATGTCTCGAGCCAGGCATGTCAGCCCGGACAGATCAGTCCGCCTCGAAATGGCGCGGAAAGATGGGATCCAGGACTCTGGTCGTGTGCCTGTTCCGATCATCTATAGTCGGGCTGCTGAAAGAAGGAACGCCAAACTAGGAACGAAGCCCCTTCTTGTCCCTGTAAGCGCCTCCGTGCCCCAGGAGGGCAAGAGGCACGGCACTGGAGGAGCCTAAGGAGCATCGAGCCACTTCAGAACCCAAACTGTTCCTCACTTCAGCGTTTTGACTGTGTTAACCAGCCTCGAACGTATCCCTATCCCTAAGATGGGCGAGCAAAAAGCGAGGGCACTCTTAGGGATAGGCACTCAAAAACTGAGGGAATCCTTAAGATCGGCATCGAGGTGCGGTGATGTCAAACATAGGGATAGGGATATGTTCCAGGCTGGTAATGGATTGCTTTGCGACGTCAGGTCTCAGGGTAGCGCGAGGGGGGTGGTCGGCGAAGCGGCCCCAGGAGCCCCCGAACTGGCTCCAGGACGAGCCTGGATTTGTGGATGCCATGGCAATGGACACTCTAACAATCCAATCATTGAATTAAACATGTGTTTAGCATGTGTTTACCAGCCTGGAACATATCCCTATCCCTAAGATTGACACGCCAAAAGGAGATGACAATCTTAGGGATACACCCTCAGAAACTGAGGAGATCCCTAAGATCGCCATCGTGATGAGGCGATGCCCAACATAGGGATAGGGATATGTTCCAGGCTGGTAAACTCTAACAATCCTACCATTGATTTAAACATGTGTTTAAAATGTGTTAAACATGTTCTAACAACCTGTCAAACCGTTTTTGTAACATGTTTCAAACAGTGTTTAACATGCTCTGGACATCCGGAAATGATTCGGCAACGTGCTTCCTCTCCATGGATCGCCCTCCACAAGCCTGGATGCAGACATGCTCTGCTGGGTCCAGGGCCAGCGCGAAAATCGACTGGCTCGGTGCGGCAACCGCATCGACCGCCCGGCGCCACCGCAGAACCGACCGGCCCGACCCGCCAGGCCTGGCATTGCCGCAGTGCCGCTCCGGCAACGCTCTTCGCGGTAACGCCCCCCAGGGCTCACTGGACACCGACACCGCCAGAAGCTCGATCTAATGCAGTGGCGTGCGCCAGGCCGAGGTGCGAGCGGAAACCGGCACGATTCGCAGCCCAGGCCGCCAATGCAAGCCAGAAGTCGGAATGGATCTTATGCTCCTGTACCAATACCACATCAGCAGACGTCCTGTTGACAACCTGTGCGTGGCAGGTGGCCCAAGAGTTCGCGTTGGCCGTGTCGATGGTCCAAACGCCATCCGGCCCTGAACCAACGATGTCACTGTACACAGGGCCCGATCCGGCCTGAACCAACGATGCCGACAGTTCGCAGACCGACCGGCCAGGAGGGGGGGGTTGGTCTTCGAAGCTACGAGGGCAGCTCCTGGGAGGCCTTCGCCAGAACAATCAAAGGCTGTTCAGCCCGAAGTTCGGGCCATTGGACCAGACTAGACTGAATCAGGCTCTGGATTGAACCAGATCAAGCGGGATTAAGCCAAGTTGCGCGGGATAACATTGGATCTAGTGGGCTTACGCAAAATTAAGCCACATGCCGACAAGGGATATACCAGCGCCAATTCTGAGTGTAACCTGCCAGGAGTTGCACCCCAGAAAAGGATAGCGAGAGATTAGTAGCTTTTGAAGCGGCCCCAGAGGCCCCCACCATGGCTCCATGGCGGACCTTGACACCATCCTCAGCCACCTAAGTCGGCCACGCAGGCCAGATCACGCTCCCGAAAACCTCTGTGGATTCCCAATCGGGGATCTTCTGACCAGGGTCAGCAGGAAACCAAAGACTGCAATGCAGGAAAAAACTGCAACGCAGGTCCTCGCAAGCCCGGGTCAGCCAGTATGCGCGGCCGCCCTCGCGGCCGCGAGCGGCTCGCTGACCCGGGTCAGCCAGAGGGGGTCTCTTCGCAGGATACTGCAGGATCCTGCAGGATCCGTTGCCCTGGCTGACCCTCGTTTGCATTGACCCCCGTCTCTTGAGCCCCGACGTCTTAGATCTTGGATACCTCCGGACGCCCTCTTGGGCCAACTTTTGATCCTCTTGGAGCCATCCTGGGCCGTCTGAGGCCCCTTCTGCGGCGTCTTGAGGCCGTCTTGGACTGGCCATCGCTCGGTGCCCTGGCTGACCCCCGGTTTGCGTTGACCCCCGTGTCAGGGCTCCCGACCCGAGGGCGCCCAGGAGCCTCCGGGAGCGCCCACTCTCCGTGGGAGCCGGGGCCCCTTTCGGCGGGGCGGGGGGCCTCAAAGTCTGCCTTCCAAGAAAGGCCCCTGCCATCGCTCGGAGGTCCACTCCCTGTGCTTTTGTTCGGTGTCGTGCGTGGTTTTTTTTTTCGCCAAATGATCAAGGATGCTCCTCGATGGTCCTCGCCGAAGGACACACGTCGGGAGCGGCCAAGAGGGTGGTGTCCAAGAGGGAGGGGGTGCAAATCATGACCGGCGGCATGTGCGTGGCCCAGCGGGGGGAACAGGGACGTAATGAACTAAGAAGAGGCGCCATGAGATCTGGGGAACTATCATGGCCCCCGCCATGATATCCACCCCTACCCTCTGGCCATCGCTCGGACGTCCATTCCCTGTGCTTTCTTGGATTTCGTGCGTGGTTTTTTCGCCAAATGATCCAGGATGCTCCTCGATGGTCCTCGCCGAAGGAACAATGCACACGTCCGAGCGATGCCAAGTAGATGGGGTCGGAGTAGCTGGGGTCGGAGGATCGCACCGCATCGACAAGGCATCACCGACGCATCGTCGATGCATCGCGACGTCGGCGACGCATCTGCGACGTGTTGGCGACGTCGGCGTCCTCGCCGAAGGACAAATGCACACGCCCGAGCGATGCCAAGCCCTGGTCATCACACCCCTCTTTGCCGCCCCCGAAAGTGCACACGTCCGAGCGATGCCAAGAGAAAGGCAGCCCTGTGCTTTTTTCTCGCTGTCGTGCGTGGATTTTTTCGCCGAGTGAGCAAGGCTGCTCCTCATGCACACGTCCGAGCGATGCCGAGAGAAAGGCAGCCGCCTCCTCCATCCGAGGCCCACCGCGGCCCTCCCCGCGCCACCCCCTCGTGCGCGGCGCGCCGCCCGTCCTGCCGCCTGGCGAGCTCGTGCTCGGCAGCGAACCTCAACTTCTTCTCCGACAGCAGGCTCTTGAAGAGGAGCCGGTCCTTAAAAGGGGCCCCGGGACACACAAGTAAATACACACAAATAGCAGGACCCCTCATGATTTGTTTTATATTTTCTGGGTTTTCGTCTTCCCCCCCACTTCCCATATTTTCCCATATGTTCCTGGTGATCGACGATTAATTGTGTCTGTGTTTCTTCCCCTCTTGAAGAGGAGCAGGTCCTTAAAAGGGGCCCCGGGGCACACAGATCCGCCGCTCCGGCGTGGGAGTTTTTGAGAGCGTGGACCTGAGCTCGCTCACGCTTCGCTCTGCAGGGGGAGGGGGGGGCACGTTATTTCCGACGTCCTTTCCGACGTTTTTCGGTACACGGGGATATTTCCGACGTCATTTCCGACGTTTGTCGGTACCCTGGGACAGGGGGGTATAGAAAACTCCACTTCCAGAGCCCCGACCGCCCAAGACAGCCCAAGAGGTAGAGAGGCCCCAGAGGACCCCTAGACAATGCAAGAGGGCCCCGAATCGCCGAAACATCGCTCGAACCGCCCAAGATGCCCCGAAGACAGTTCCAGAAACCTCCAAGACGTCCCCAGGATCCCTCACGACACTTCCAAATAATGCCCAAAGACTGACAAATAGACCCACTCCCTCTGGAAAACTTATATTTTCTGCATATTCGTTCCTGGGGCCTTCACAATGTCCAAGACGGCCCCAGAGCTCCCTAAGACACGCCAACAGAGAGGGCTCCAAGACGGCCCCCGAAAGGCCCAAGACGGCCCAGGAGAGCCACAAGACGATCCAAGTCCAGAGCCCAGACCGCACAAGACGGCCCAAGAAAAAGCCAAGAGAGGCCCAAGAGGCCCCCTAGACGGTCCAAGAGGACCCCGACTCGCCGAAACATCGCTCCAAGCCGCCCAAGATGCCCCCAAGACGGCTCCAGAAGCCTCCAAGACGTCCCCAGGATCCCCATCATCATCTCGCTCTCACCCCCCCCGGATCGGCGGCACTGGCCAGAGGCCAGCCCAATAAATACACACAAGTAACAGGATTCCTCATATCTTTCCATATTTTCTGGGTTTTCGTCTTCCCCCCCACTTCCCATATTCCTGGGGATCGACGATTAATTGTGTCTGTGTTTTTTCCCCTCCTGAGTCCTGTACTTCGCTGTGCCGCTTTCCGACGGCCGCCAAGAGGGCCAGCGATACCGCACAGAGGGAGAAGAGTGGGAGGGTTTGCGGCGGAGATGGGCTGCCAAACGCAAAGATCGGCAGCTCGAACACAAGCACCAGAGTAATCTCCAGCGGGAACACAAACACCCAACGGACGGGAGCCAGGTGCCCGAATGACCCACACAGATTGAGGCAGAGCAGGTTCAGGCCGTCAGTGTACCCAAGATCGCGGCCCCACACTGCGCTGGGATCGTCGTAGCCCAACATTATCGCGAGATAGAAGCGGCTGCAACCGATTGTCATCAGCATGCAGACAGCACTCACCACGGTCGTGGTGAACTCCATGTACAACAATGCGACTCGCGGCGACACGTGGTATCGGTCTACCGCCTTCGCCGCGATCAACATCACTGCCAACACGCCCGTGCCGCCATAGAACACAGTCACCTGAGTGACGACAAGAAACAGGTTTTGCGGCATGATGCAAGAAGGCGTGTGGCCCTCACGCCGCGGCTTGCGCGGACCGGCAGCGCGGCACGCCACACTGGAAACGAGGGCGCTTACAGTCGGGGCGTTGACCTGAGGAACGATAAATAAGGAACGAGGCACCTTTTTCCCATAAGTTAAACTCCGATTTTCCATGGAAATCCTGAGGAAAACCCAAGGAGCGCTGTAAAACAACTAAGGAACACGGAGCCCCTCCCCAACGAAAAGGGTTCCTTCCTCAGGGCCCCGACTGTACTGCACGCGCGATCTTGCGCGGGCAACGTACGCCCGGATGTCGACGAAGACGAACCCGCTGTTCTGCGTGCTCGCCTGCCACTTCCTGGACCTCATAGCCGCATCTGTGGGGTACTGGTCAACATTCCAGAAGTTCTGCGCTAGAGAAATGCCGGAGCACAGGATGACTAGCCAGACCATCATAATGGACGTCCATTCGGTCAGCCGCTGCCTCCTTGAAAGCATGAAGCCCGTCTCAAGACCTGCGCTTTGGAACCTCAGAGTCCAGCGGCCAATCCCGCCCTCATACTGCATACAATCCGTTGGGCGGTCTCGGCCAGGAAGCCGACCATGTGGGCGCCGACGAGGCATGTCCGCTCAAGACGAGCTCAGACGAGCCACCAAGCTCTGAGCCAACAGGGCTGGGAGGATGGGGAGGATGGAGAGGAGAGGGCGGGCAAGGTGGGGGAAACAGATGGGCGGCAACTCCTGGGAGTTCTGCGTAAGAGCAATAGAGGGCGATGAAGCCCGATTACCGGGCCACTGAGCCGCACTGACCCACATCAGACCCAGGATTCAGCCGGATGGAACCAGATGAGGACGGATCGAACGGAACTGAACGGGACTGTGCCAGAGCAAGTTGGCTTCCAAACACGGATATGCCGGCGCCGATGATGAATTGACATCCCAAGAGCTGCATCCTAAACAACGCACCTGGAGAAAAAGAAGTACTCCGCGCGGACTCCTCGGATCTGTGCTGGACCCCCTGCCCTGGCCATCGGTCGGACGTCCACTTTCTGTTCTTTTTTCGGTTTCGTGCGTGGTTTTTGTCGCAGGATGATCCAGGATGCTCCTTCATACTCCCCGCCGAGAAAAAAGTGCACACGTCCGAACGATACCAAGTGCCTGGCGCGCGAAGCGCGCCAGGGGCGGCGCAAGAGGCGCTGCCACGGGGGCCCAGCGCCGATGCGAATAGTGCGTGCGGAGGTCCCAACATGGTGTATATGCTGTGTCTGCTTCGACTTTCATGGAATGCACCAGGGCTGGACCTAAACGGTGTTTGAGCGATTTCGTGGGCCGTTTTCGTTTCGACTTCGTTTTGCGGTAGAGGTGGATTGAGAACAAACGAGGGAAAACGGAAACAAAACGAAAACGAACAACACCGTTTGGGTTCAGCCCTGAAATGCATCCTGAACAATATACTGTTAAGCCAGAGTGGTGTGTTTAACTCTGCGAGGGCGATAATAGTCACTCGGTGTAATAAAGTTCGGGGTCCTGGCGGGGATAATAAAGGATTGCCTCGGGGAAGGTAAGTTATGATGATGGTACAGTTCGGCCTCCACGCCTATCTCCACAATTGAATCCTGTTGAACGGGGAAAATAAAATAAAAGGGGGTGAAGGGGGGGAGTACTTTATTATCGCCCGCACTCGGTTGATGTTAAGCCAGGGAAGTGGGTCTGACGCAGATTGGACCGCGGGAAAAAGTGCCACAGTATGTGCAATAGCTGGTGACTCGATGCAATGGTTTTCGCGCTTGGCGCAATAAGTGTGCGTGGGTACGCTAGCGTAGCTTTGTTTACATGCAGCAGAGTTCGTGCCTCCAGGTATAAGTACTTCCTGTTGCACGCAACAGTATACAATCCCACTAGCCCTCTGGGCGCGGGTGATCTAGTAAGGCTCCTCTTCCAACGCCCTCTTTCCACTTTGGGGAAGGGTTTGCGGCGGCGGCGGCTGCGGCGGCTGCGGCGGCGGCGGTGGCGGCGGCGGCGGCAGCGGCTGCGGCTGCGGCAATTTGGCAGCGGGGGCGGCGGCGGCGGCGGGCGGCGCGACGGCGGCGGCGGCGGCGAAGGCGGCGGCGGCGCGGGCGGGCGCGAGCGCGGGCGGCTGCGGGCAGCGGCGGCGGCGGCGGCGGCTGCGGCGGCGGCGGCGGAGGCGGCGGATTGGCCCTCAGTAGCTGCCAGACGACTGCCGAATATGCTGAGGCTCTGGCCAGACTCGGGTGTTACGTATGTGTTGGGAGGGCGGGTGGGAGTGAGCGAGAAGGCTTGCGGGCGGGGAGGGAGTCTTGACCCCTCCCCCTGATCCCCTCCCCTGGACCTGGAGGGGTGGGGTCGCGGGTCGTTGGAGCGTCCAAGATGGCCAAAGATGGCTCTAGGAGGGCATGAAGGAGCCCAAGATGACTTCCAAGATGGCCCAAGATAGCCCAAAATTGCCCAATATGGCTCCCAAGATGCTCCAAGAGGCCTCAAGGCCTCTGAACGGCCACGGAGCATCCCCAGGAGGCCACCAAGAAGCCCAAATCCTTCAACAACTGGATGAAGATCAATAAACTGTGCGTTCTCGTCTCTTCACTTCCGCCTGGCCTTCCGAGGCCTCAAGGCAGCTCCAAGAGGGCACAGAAGGGCCCCAAGAGAGGCCCAAGAGAGCCCAAAAATGGCCCCAAGAGCGCCCAAGAGCGCTCCAAGAGCGCCCCAAGAGGGGCCCAAGAGGCGATGTGTGGGGCTCCCGCCCGAGAGGGGGGTCGTAATTGGAGTTCCCATCTTTCTGGTCGATCTCCTCCCAAATGGCATCAAGGGCGCTCCCAAGGCTCCTGAGGGCGCCTCCAGAGGGCCACAAGAAGCGCCCAAAAGGCCCCCCAGAGACTCCAATGAGACCCCCAAGACCCTCCCCGAGGCAGCCAAGACGCTCCAGGAGGCCCCCGGCGTCCTCTTCTTCCTCCTCCGCCTCCGATTCCTCCTCCTCCCTTCCCCTCTTGGTGTACGACGGTTTCTCCAGCTCTTCGTTCCTCTGTGAGCTTCCCCGCTTGTCTGATCAAGGCAACTCGCCTGAGCATCGGTTCCGGATGGGCTGGTGGAAATACGGGAAGCGTCAAGAGTTCATGAGTGATCAGCGACTGCGCCTTTCACCGCCGACCCCTCTGCACCAGACCCACGACTCCAGCTTGAGTTTCTCAGAATTGATAACTCTGCGGCTGTTTGGTTTCGACCCCTCGGGGGTACACCCTGAGCAGCATATCGAAAAAAATGAAGAGGCCCTGGGACACACACAGAAATGCACACACATAAACAGATTTCCCATATTTTCCCATCCCCCACTTCCCGCATTTTCCTATATTTTCTGCGGAATCGACGATCAATTGTGTCTGTGTGATTCTTTCCTTCAGAAAAAAGTGGGATGCACCTCTGGTGGGCAACGTCACGGGGGGGGCCAACGCACGGGGACCAACACTGAGCCCGACTCGGTGATGCATCGCCAATGGGTCGGCGACAGGTCCCCCATAGCAAGTCCGCACGGTCCCTGGCGGGTGGCTCTGCGGGCCCTCGCCGGCGATGCGTGAGCCATTACAGTCGGGACGTTGACCTAAGGAACCCTAAATAAGGAGCGAGGCCCCTTTTCCCCATCAGTTAAAGTTCGATTTCCCATCGAAAACCTAAGGAAAACCTAAGGCAAGGTGTGAACCAATCAAGGAACACGGAGCCCCTCCCCAACGAAAAGGGTTACTTCTTCAGCGCCCCGACTGTAGGGGTCGATGCGTCCCCCCATGAGCCCTTCCCCCACTTTCGTCGGGGTCCCAACCACAATGCGGCGACGGACCGCGAGGCCACTTCGGGACCCCCAGCGACCCCAGCGCGCGGTCCGTCGCCTCACAGTTTCGGGGGCCTTGGAGGCATCGGTGGCCCGAGACATCCTCGGAAAACGACTCAAGTCCCAAAACCGCGTGGTAGCCCCGAATCCCGGCTGACTCACCACGCGGCATGGTCACAGCGCCGTTTCGGGGCCCGCGCGCCGCGGCCGTCCCCGCACCCGACGTCATGTTTTTTGGGGTTCTCGAAACGTCGAACTCCCAAAAGTCGACCCATCCCCCCTGACCAGTTCTTCATCGCGGGCTATACCGGACCCGGGCGCGCGGCCAGCAGGGCGCGCGGCCGCCTTGGCGGCGCCGGCACCGGCCTGCGGCGTCTGCGGGCGCGCCGCATCGGCGCTCATGAACTCGAGGTCGTCGGCGGTGATCTTCCCGCCCCCTCGCCGCCGGGCGGGAGGGGAATTGCCGGGCAGGACTGGCCCGTGTCCAAGCCAGCTGGGAGCTTCGGGCTCCCTTCCCCAGGAATCCGAGGGGCACTGGTAGGCGGCGACCGCGGGGGGAAGTGAGAAGGGGCGGGCCTTCTCAGAAGGCTCGGAAGTCCCCAAGCCTTCTGAGAAGCTTCCCAAACCTTCTCCGAAAACAAAGAACACTTCTCAGACGTCGCGAGGGCTTCTGAGAAGTCCCGCCGCCTTCTGAGAAGGCTATCTCCTTCTCACTTCCCCCCCTCGCGCGCCGCCGAACTGGAGGTGGACGAGAATCTGGCCCCTACGGGCTCGACTTTTATTCATGTCCAGTGCGCCCCTTCCAAGGAAGCCCAAGACGCACTGGATTTGCACATAAGTCTTGCCCGCACGGGAGGCCTGCAGTCAAAACTGATAGCAAGCATGCGCAACAAGGATGTAAGCCCGTTGTGCGCTCGTGTTGAGGCACGTCGGGCGAGGCTTGCCATCGAAAGGGTTAAGGGCGGACCGAGGAAGCACGAATGCAACAATACCCCTGCAACAATTACCTGTGCTTACCTAGGGAAACCTGTACCGGTACCGCTACTCCCTGGACCTCTCCCTGGGTGCTTTCTGGCAAAAACTTCGAGGCGAATGCAGCAGTGGCGACGAGTGCCTCCCAGGAGGCCCCCAAAAGGGACAAACGAAAAAAAGTAGCGGTATGGGTACTTTTTCTTCCTCTGATTACCACTGGTTTCGACTGGACCTCCAACGACTCGAGAAGCTCGAAGCGGATATCGAGCGCTGCCTTCGTATTCGCGACAGCGCCCATGATCCGCCACGCCCCCCCTGGTCTTGTCATTCGCGCTGGCGCCGTCCGGAGATAAGCCATTCTTGAGCCAGTGCTCGACCTAAGCACTAAGCATTGGTTTTCATGTTCGTTTTGTTTGTGTTGTCCTTCGTTTTGTCTTCAATCCGCCGTTGCTACAAATCGGGGTTGTACAGAACCTCCTTTAGTAAAACGTGGTTTAGTGAAAACGACCTGAGGCCCAAACCTGGCGGGCGCAAGCCTGGAAAATGAAGGCCGCGGCGCCCCTCGAGAACCGAAAACTGACAATTCACTAATCGACGTGTCAGGGTGGGGTGTCTGTCCACCCCCGAACAAAACGAAACCGCAATGAAAACGGACCACGAAATCGCGAAAACACCCTTTAGGTCGACCCCTGTCGTGAGCTCTCTAGACGGCGTCGGCGCGAATCGTGATGTCACCGGCCCCCTTCCCCCCTTCGCCCCCCCCCCTCTCTGCCACGCCCTTCTCGACAGGTAACGAACGAAGGTCTCTCTTTTTGCACGTTTCGTGCCCAGGGTCCGTCAAAAACGAGTCAGGGTGGAGAGCTGGC